CAATAAACTACTATTAAAATAAATGTTTTGAGAGCTGAGGATAAAAGTTAGTAATGGAGAAAATTGAAAGAACAGCAAAATTGGATTGTGTTTTTCCTTAGATCTTCCACTGGGTCGAAGAGTTTTTAGATGTTCCAGGCAATTCATCACTTAGAGCAAAACCCCTCCTCTCCCTTTTCATAGAGGACGGGGCTGGAGAAGCACTATTTTGGCTTTTGGGCAGTGCTAGTGGCTAGCACTGGTGGTCAGCCAAGTGCAGGCGTCCTCTGAACGCTTTAGAGTAGGAAGCTGATTTTCTTTCCTTTTACTATTAGAGCAAGCCTAAGTTGTGTACAGTAGGCAGAGCTCGTAAATGATTCCAGGGAGAACAGGTCACCCATGAATGACTGTGGTTTTGTTGCTTTAAAAAAAAGAGGATCACCTCATCTTGAATGTCATTTAATTGTTTTTTAATTTAAAATGCTAAATACTCCTATTAGGAGGCTGCAGAAACATTGTAAGCATGCAGGAATGTGTAAATATGTGCAGCCGTTTTCAGTTGTGATGTAACTGCAGTGGCAGGAATATAAGACTAAGTATGTGCTGATTTGTCATTCTGTTCATCTCTCATAACCTTACCCTGTGTTACATAGGTAGATGGCAAATGAAGAGAACAATTGATTCCTTTTCCCCAAAGATGATGAGTATCTAATTTGCAAAGGATCACATTTCAATATCTGCTCCGCAGGAGGCCTAGGGACAGCGCTGGGTAAAGCCCACTTCTCTCCCCTCCCCCATGGCAGCACTCAGCGGCTCCCTGGGCCGGGCCGGGCCGGGCCGGCGACGGGTCTGGAGAGAGTGCTGTGGAGAGGGTGAGGAGAGCGGCCCTGGTCCTCCGGTACTGGCAGGCAGCGCTGCTCTTGTGTTTGGGTTTTGTTCATGTTTATGGTTAAAGCTAGCCTTCCCTCTGTTCCTGGCCTTTGGAAAGACCTGTTACCTGAGTCCCCGAGAGCAGCCCTGCAAGTGTGCTGTGTTTATTAATGTTGCAAGTCATTGCTTCCCAGTCACGGGCGGTCCAGCCTGGACAGGCCCACGGGTGAAGGCCCCAGTCCCACAGGGCAGCCCAGACCCCCTTGGCTATGACGCTGCCCGGCCTGTCTGTCCTCCCCTCAGCCACATTGCTCCAGACACAGCTGCTTTGCCCTTAGTCTTCTTTGGCCTTTCAGTCTCTCCTTCCTTTGTGCAAACCATCCTCCCTACCATCTTTTAGACAAGGTGGTTTTCTCCAACCCCAGCCCCTTTTGTCTATTTCTCTGATGACCAGGGAGCAAAACTAGAGTCCAACCAAATGCCATGCAACCCTGAGCAAAGAGGCTGGCGTAGCAGCGAAGAGCAGGGTTCTCTAGATGCACTGAGAAGCTGAGTCCTGCGGGGCTTGCTTGAGGCCCAGCTTCCTCTCTGAGGCAGAAAAAGAGGAGCAGGAGGAAAGAGTTTAAACATTGCACTTATTTCTCACAACTTCGTGCGGTAGCTTTGCTACATCGTCCAGTACGCTTAACCGTTAACAATGGGAAGCCTTTGCTTTATTTGGAATAGTATAACTTGGAGGAAATTAGTTTGATTTACCGAAGTCTGTGCTGCTGACTTAAATTACTGTGTACGTGGTGCACTCTTGGGAGGAAAATCATTATTTTTTTATAAAAATGTTCAATGGGCCATTTTCCAGAGACAAACTATTAATTAAGTCTCCTGTTGTTCTCAGCCTTGAGAGTCTGAAACTATGTTAATGAAATCTATAAACAGTTTGGACGGTTGACAGGAAGGTGGGTCTGCTAAGAACTCTTGAGGACCCGCTGCCGCCCGGGGTTCTAACTGCAGACCTGGCTTCTGCGAGTGCGGGGGTCAGCTGGGCCACGGTGAACAGGGTGAGGAGCCTTGTCAGATGCCTTTGTCCCCTGCACCCCCAGCCATCACCGCACCGCCTGTGGAAATAGGAGGTGCTGTCTGCGAGCCAGGGTTGGCTGAGGAGCAGGCACTGTCTCCCGGGGCCCAGGGAGGGCCGCACGCACGCCCACATGCCCGCACAGCCCCTCCTCACGGGAAGGCTGCTGTGGTTAGAAGGTGAGGACACCCAGGCAAGACACTGCCTGCTGTTAGCAGAAGCTCCTCGCACCAGCCATGGTGGCACCGCAGACAGTCCAGCTGCTCAGAGCTGCTGGCTGTAGGATAGCAGTGACTGAAGAAAAGTAATCAGGCTGCGCACACAAAGTATGACTTTGGAAATGAAAAGTGGATAGGTAGGTGTCTAATCATAGGAACCATAGATGGGGGCCAGGACTTGTGTTTTCTGTTCAGCGCCCTTTTAGCTCTACGGCTCTTGACACGTTCAGAACCCACACCGACTCCCACAGTACAGCATCAACACAAACCCGTCTTGCCATTCCCCGTCAGCAAGAGCTAGAGCAGGAAACAGCTGCGCTGTGGCCGTGAGGTACCTGGACTGCTGCAGACACTGAAAGGGTGGGATGCTCGGCTCTGCGCTCGATCCCCCGGCCTCACGGGAGGGCTGGAGAACCGGCAGTGGTCCCCACCACACACTGTGGCTCTGCTTGGTTCTCCCCGTCACGTGTACAATGATTTTGTGTTTCCTGTACAAGATTACAACTTTTTAAAACAGCAGAATCGCTGTGTGCCAAACAGAGACGTGTTCTGGACTAGTTCCTTCTTTAGGTTATTTTTGAACTTCAAATCTCAGAGAAAGCTTAGGCAGTTGTAGAGAGACCGTAACTGTGTTCATCGCGGCGCCTGTGGGGGCCAGGGCTCCTGTGTGGGAAGCAAGCACAGAGTATTTGGTGTGTGGAGGGAAGCCATGCTGCCAGACACACCTCCACACCTGGTGGTTGTAGGCCCACGCTTCACAGGTGATAAAGGCCCAGAGGTTTGCCAGTGCCCCGGACAGTCCAGAGTGTGTGCTTGCCGTGCATGTTGGTTTCTCTTCACTTAAAGAAACTGCCTGCGCCGGGCGCTGGTGGCTCACGCCTGTCATCCTAGCTACTCAGGAGGCTGAGATCTGAGGGTCGCGGTTCAAAGCCAGCCTGGGCAGGAGAGACCGTGAGACTCCTATCTCCAATAAACCACCAGAAAACCGGAAGTGGCGCTGTAGCTCACGTGGTAGAGCGCCAGCCTTGAGCTGAAGAGCTGAGGGACAGCGTCCAGGCCCAGAGTTCAAGCCCCCACAGCCAACCAAAAAAAAAGAAAAAGAAACTGCCAACTGCCTGCAAGCTCGCACCAGCATCTGTAAGAAGGAAAGCAGAGTCGGGAATCACCAGAAATAGTGTGGCTGAGGTGGGTGATGGCGCTGGGTGGCCAGTGTTGGACACTGGCCAGGACTAGGCAGATTTGAAGCCACCTTCCGGGAAGTCCTCTAGCAGTGCTGGGTGCTCCGGCTCACACCGCCGTCCTGCATGGAATATGGACAGGGTCAGGTGACCGTGAAGGCTAGGTGTGGCAAATTTGCCAAGAGCACTCTCCTTACACTTGACTTGCTGTGTCCTTAACCACAGAGAGGCTCCCGTAGACACCTGGTCTACCTGCCAGGGCCCCTGCACCCCGCTGGGCAGAGATGGGGAATCTGCCCATTGGACGGGCTGCCCCCTGGTACGTCCTACTCCAGGACTTTGGTGAAAAGTGATTCTGCAAAGGTTGGCTACTGCATTAGCAGACCTCCCTGTTTTCCATATTTTCAGAAAAGTAAAAAAGAAGAAAAAACGTCCATTTTAGCCAACTTTATTTTTAGAAACACATTTTATTCAAACATCCCCTTACTTATTACAGACATAAATACATGCGTTCAGACAAATGAATACACGAGAGAACCATAGAAAGTAATTGGCACATCACTTCAGGGTGCTTTGTCAGTTACTGGAGGAATTTGTGCCTCTAACTTTAATCTTCTCCATTAAAATATCCATTCTGCCTTCAGATTGTGAAGCCTGTAATATTTTAGGCTGTCTCTCTGGATCTGTTAGTTTTGCTTGTCAATTTAATTTGTGGCTCTCTGACTTTGGGTGTCTTGTTAGATTGTATGTGGAAATGTATGTACAGATGCTGTCCTGCGTCCAGGTTACCACCTGGCCTCTACAGACAGGTATGGCGTGGGAAGGCCTGCTGGCCAGTGGAGGTGTGTCCACCTCATCTGCAGCACCTCACACACTGTCCATTGGATCTTCAGAGCCTCCTTGTGCTGGCTCTGTGTTCCTCTAGAGTATTGGGAAAGTGAGACACAGAGATCTCAAGGCAAACCGGATTACCAGACACCAGAGCACATGGCAAGGTGCGCTCAAAGCAGACCACACTGCCAGAGCCCAGCTGAGGGTGTTTGTGGTGGTCTCTGCCACAAAGCTGCTTCTTCCTCTGCCCCCTTTGGGGAAAAGGCTTTGGCAGTGGTAGGAAGCGAAGCAGGAGGAGTGGGAGCAGGAGCTCTGCCATTGGCTACACGTGACCCCTTGTGCCGCCACCCAGAAGCAGCCTTGCCTCTCGGCCGCCTCTGCGACCCACCTGCACCGGGCAGGTGGCTGCGGCCCGCCCCTGGGTTCACATCCCCAGCCCGGCCTGCAACCACTGCTGGCCCCACTGGCTCCTGTCCCGGCCGCCCTCCTTGTCTGCTTCTTCCTCGGCTTAGAGCACATACGTGCTCAGTTCCGTCGGCATTCCCTACGCCGCCGTGCAGTCCTCCCACCACCCATACCCAATAGGAAGAAGTGGGCGAGGACCAGTGGAGGAGTGACTTTGCAAACACGCCTCTCCGATCGCGTGGACTCTGTCTCTGAGAAGGGCTGTGGAAAAGGTTGCCTGAGTCAGCCCCGCGTAGAGGAAGGCAGGTGGCTCTGTGTCCCGGGACTCCTCCCCAGCCGGGAGCACCCTCTCAGGCAGCTCTGCCGGGTCCAGCGTCAGAGATGCAGGAGGGAAGGGCAGGGTCTGAGCCCAGGCGCCGGTCTTCACCGCAGCTCTCTGTCTTCCAGATGATGTCGGTCCTCATGAACACCATTGTCTTTGAAGACTGTCGGAACCAATGGTCAGTGTCCCGGCCCCTCCTGGGGCTGGTCCTGCTCAACGAGAAGGTGAGTGTGGCCTTCCTGCGGGACGCCACCCGGGCTGTGACCCCGGCTGGGCAGTGGCGTGGGCACAGGAGTGGAGCAGCTGAGCTTGAATTGGGACCATCTTCCCCAGAAGGCCTCAGCTCTTCGTGGCCGAGGCCTGAGGACCTCAGCTTGGGTCCTGGTTAGCTCCCCAGAGTCTCCAGTGCCCCCCTCGGCCCCTCCCTCGTTCAGAAACCTCACGTGGTGTCTGCGCCAGCCATGGTGGTGGAAGCCCTTGGCTGGCTGGGCGCTCACGTCTAGCCTCTGCGGGGCCTGGCCAGCCTGGGCCATCTCCCTGCTCCTGCCGAAGCCCACCAGGGCTCACCAGCAGTCGGCAGGAACGGGGCATCACGGCTTGGGAGAATGAATTGTCTATACAGTAAGATCGCACTAGGGGGAAGACGGCGAGATTAGAGGCAGCGCATACATTAAAATTCAACTAAAACCCCAGCCTTGGAAGGAAACTAATAGAAGAAGAGAATATATCAAAAAGAGAAGAGCTGTCTCATCGCTCACCTGCACTGAAGGATCCAATTTTAGCCACATTCAATAGCACTGTCATTCATCTTCCCTCGGTGTTATTGTGATTTAAATCCAAGCTCTATAAAAGAGAGCAGTTCTTTTAAAATGATTGAGAGGGAATAAGGGCAAATTCGGTGTTTAGAAAAAGCTTATGACATCACAATATTATTCTTTACTGATGGAGGCAATATTTCATGGTTTGGGATGAAAAACTAATAATTTTCTATTTGGTGTGAGTCACTGCATCATTATAAAAGGGAAAAATAAGTAGTTTTGTACATTCCCAATCTTGTTTGGGAAGGCATTGCGGTTTAAGTGTAATGACTCTGATATATGGTATTTAAGTATTAGTCTGACTACATATTAATTACGTGTGTTTTTTGATGCAAGCTGTTTTAATGTATGATGGAAATTAAATACCATGCTGCTTGGGCCTGGTAGAGTAAGCACATGACTGTCGAAAGATTGCCTTCGTACTGAAATTAGGCCATTTCTGATGATTGGGAAGTCTGCTGTGCACCACGGTTTGTGTTTCTGTCAGAGCGCACAGACACCAGCAGAGAAGGGGGTGTGTGGTCGTGTAGGACAGACAGCTTCCTCGGGGCCAGCCAGCTCTCCCGGAGCTGAGGAGAGATTCACTGAAGCCAGTCACCCAAAGTGCTCCCTGGGCATTCTTCTCCTCTGCCTTTCTGCGCCAGAGGAGGGGAGACTGAGGAAGACCGGGGCTCAGCTCCCCACCGGGACCCCCCACCCCCACCCCAGGGACCAGTCAGCCTCAGCAGCAACACTAGAACCACGGCTGCAAGAGAGCATTACCAGGGGTGTCTCTAAGAGCTAACGGACAGCCCTGGACAAACCCCTCTGCAAGCCAGCCAGGCTAGCCCAGTCCACGCTGGCTCCCCTCAGCTTCCCTCAGCCTGACTCTGCTGTCTCCCAACAGTACTTCGGAGAACTCAGAGCAAGTCTGATAAGCAGCCAGCCTCCCCCCAAGCAGGGGGTGCTTGCCCAGTGCTTCAGGAACTTGATGGACGGCGTGGAGCAGAACCTGTCTGTCAAGAATAGAGACCGGTGAGCGCGGCCGGAGACTGGGGGGCGGGCGGGGGCGTTCCTGGCATGTTGGACTTCACACGGTTGTGCTCACACACTGTGGTGGCTTCTCCGTTGTGCCCTGCTGAACTTGCATTCAGTACATGCTACTGCACATTTACTCTCTTCCAAGCCGAACGCTTGGCACCAGACAGGGGTGCAGAGATGGATCCGAGCAGCCTCCACCCAGAGGCAGCTCGTAATCTAGGAGAGAAGAGAAAAATAACTGTAACTGGTGGACAGGTCAGAGGAGAGAAGCCCAGACAGATGTGCTGTGGGAAATGAGGAAAGCCAGGCCTCCAGGCAGGCTCGGTTCACCCCTGCCTGCTGCAGGCACTGGCCGAAGGGTGGTTAGCTTCTGGCTCAGTTTCCCCAGCAGCAAGATGGAGATGATTGGTGGCCATGGTGTTTGAGTAGTGGAATGTGGTGAGAAGCACAGTAAGGAACAAATCCATAACACGGGGATGGAGCGGACAGGCAGTAGTAGGCAGCGGGAAGCAGTTTGTCCAGGGTTCTGGACAGATCCTGCCCACATCGCCTGCCCTTGGTGTGTAGGGCTCAGACCCTGCTCCGTGCGGAGCACCACGTGTCAGTCAGACCTGCATCACCGGCCAAGTCAGCAGAGACTCTAAGAGCCTCTGTCGGGCAGAAAGGGCACCCTCTGGGGCCTGAGAGGAGACTGGGGAGGAGCGCCCCAGAGCAGCCCTGGGCCCAGACGCTTCAGCGGCGCGTGGGAGTGTGACGCCTGCACTGCCGACTGCTCCCCGTCAGTGCGCCCCCGCCCAACAGGTCCTGTGGTAGCTAATGGTAACTGTGTGTAATTAGAAGAATGAAGATAATAAAGCCCCACTCCTGTAGTGCCTAAGGTAGCTAATGACAATACTCTATAAACAATAACAAGGACAGATGCCACTCCTGCAGGTAGTTCCTAAGGTGGCCGCTCACACCAGGCGCTGCTGGTGAGTGGCAGGGCCCAGGCCCCCTCTGCCCTCCGCCCTCAACCCTCTGCCCTTAAAGACAAGGTCTCACTGCGTAGCTCAGGCCAGCCTCAGCTCATCCTCTCCCCGCTCGACCTCGTGAGCCAGCTGCCCCCTTTTCCACCCTTAAATTCAGATCTGCGGGTACTGAGGCCTACATCCGGGAAGACGTGGTGGTTAAATTGGTTACATGCAGACCAGGGCTCATGCAGGCCTTGCTGCTTTTCATCCTTCGCCATCTGGGTGCAGTATGCCCTTTCAAAAAACGTGTTAGTGGTGGAACATGAGACGCACCCGTCTCCAGCGGCAGCAAGAACTCAGTGTGCAGGGGAGAGGAGGGCCTGCTGGAGCGAGGACCGAGCTTCCCGGGGCCTCCCTGGGTCCTGAGCTCCAGCGTGGCCCCGTCTGCCCAGGCCCCGCCGGGCTCCATTTCCTGCTTCCTCTTTCCACAGGTTCACCCAGAACCTGTCCGTCTTCAGAAGAGACGTGGCGGAGGCCCTGCGCAGCGATGGACACACAGAGCCGTGCAGCCTGGACATGATGAGCTGACCGGCGCCGGGCCGGGCCCCACGCAGAGACCCGCACGTGTGGGTCCCAGGACCCGGGTGCTGGCTAACAGGGGAATCTATTTTTCAAGACAGACAAAAGCCCTACCTTTTGATAAGTCCGGCCTAATTATAAGAATTTGTAATAGTGCACAAGCAATGTCAGTTCCGTCTTTGTCTGGAAGGTGAGAACGTGTTTTCAGTTCTCCCCTCAAGGCCGTGGTCTTGGTTCTCATAAAAGGTGTGGAAGTGTATTTAACCAAAGAGCAGCAGAGCCAGGCTTGCGCCTGGCGCGCACTGGCCTGAGGGTCCTCGTCAGCCCTGGGGACCCGCTGGGTCCTGATGGCCACGGACGCACTGGGGCCTGTCTGGAAGAAGCCATGGATGGAGGGCTCTGGGGTGAGTGTCGAGGGCGCACCTCCCCCCGGGCCACACGCGGGCCCCTGCGCCTCAGCAGCGTCGGGTCAGCGGAGCTGGAGCGAGCTGCCTGCGGGGCCCGCCTTGACCGGCGCACATCGGAGCCGGCTTGCGTCTAGAGGAGCAGGGCTGGGCAGGGGCTTCCTGCAGAGAGGGCTGTGCGCCCGGGGGCACCCCCCACTCCTCCCGGGAACTGAACCACCCAGAACAGCCCCAGGTGCTGCAGCTGGGGCTCCCCAGAGCCGTGGACCAAGAGAACTCCTGCTGCGCCGGGCTGCGCCTCGCCTGAGCCGGGCCGTCAGGAGGCAGCCCCGTCAGGAGGCAGCCCCGCTGCTGCTGAGGTGAGCTTGCCACCACCACCTGGTTCTGTGTCTCCCTGCTCTCTCTTTGAGGCCCAGGCTTCTAATAGATACTGTGCCCTTTGTCTCTGCTAAGACGTGAGCGAGAAAGAAATCCACAAGCTCCTGTTGTGAGCTCCACAGTGTCTCCACGCCTTCCTGTGCGAAGGGAGCGTGGAGGCTGTGCCCACGCCGGCCTTGCTCCACATCCTGTTAGAGAAGTTGGATGCCCGTCCCCAAAACTGTCAGAGGAGGCGACCCCTCCTCGCCCCGTTCTCTGTACGCAGCCTGTGCTGTTTGCATTAAAATGTGTTCACAAGAACGTGAGTGTCCTCGCTTTCCTCTGCCTCCCCACCAGAGATCCGAGATCCCAGTTGGGCGGGGAGGCCAGGAGACTTGCCCTGGCGCCTGCTCAGAGAGTGCCGGCCATGCCCCAGCCCCCAGCAGAGAGTGCCGGCCATGCCCCAGCCCCCAGCAGGCCCCTCGGCACAGCCCCCCTCCCCAGCAGGCCCCTCCCCAGCAGGCCCCCTCCCCAGCAGGCCCCTCCGCACAGCCCCCCCCAGCACCGTGTCTCCTGCAGGTGGTGAAGGAAGATCCACCAGCATTTAGTGTTGAACCTGAGGCCGCATGCCCCCCCCCCACAAGGAACCCTGGCCTCTCCTCTTCAGTGGGAGCCAGAAGCACGGCTCAGGACCTTGGTGCCGGGTTGGCTCCAGCACTGGCTCCTCCTCCTCCTGAACTTTATAAGATCATTCCTGAGACTTTTTAATGTTTTATTGAGGTGCAAGTTTACGATGACAGCAAACCTTTCCAACTACAGCAAGAGTAACCTGCCTCCGTGGCATATTAAAAAATAATGTTGGCGTTGGTTTTTACGTCCCGTAGTTCGGACTGCTGATAAGAGCGCTTCCTTGACAAGATTCTTTTTGAGGTTTACAGAAAGCGTAATAAAATATGTAAGTTACATTTCCACAAACAAAAGCTATAACATAAGTTATTTATAAGCGTGAGATACAAACAGTATCACAATAAATAAACCATAAAGGTACCTGCAGCATCCATCTTAATGTAATTTGCCCAACAAAACTGTTGAAACGAAGTCAAATTCGGTAGAGAAATCTGTCAGGGAGGAAAGTCTTAGAGCACAAAGTGGGGGGCGGCCGTGCTGGGGGAGGTGGGATGGGGTGGGAGCCCCCCGCAAGGCCACCTGCCATCTGTGTGCACCCCAGTACCCTGGCCACAGCCCCCCACGCCCCTGCCCCGCAGTCCCGCAGGACCTGGGGCCGGGTCTGACCCAGGCTGAGGACGGGGCCATCGCTCAGGCTCCATAGTCAGCCTCTGCCCACAGTCTGGCGAGCAGAGCTGACCAAGGGCCCCGGGCCTGGAAGTGGATACAGGATGCGGATACCCACTAACCGGACGGCCTGGCCGAGCCACCCTTCCCCGTGAGGGGCGGGGCAGGAAGAGAAAGGTCAGAGCATCCACCTGAGTTCCTAGGCCGCCCTCTCCCTCCCGTTCCTTTTTCCTTGTCCTTGCTTTCCCGTGCTGCAAGCTCTTGATGACCCTCCATGGACCAGACTGGCTCCCAGCCCAGAACAAGCAATCAAGGGCCGGCCACACCCTTCTGCCTGCAAAGGACTCCCACAGCAGCCTCTCCCCTGCTGCTGGGGTTCTTGGCGGGCCCATCCCGACTCAGTGTCCCGAGCAGTGGAATCTGCACTGCCCACTCCCAGGGCAGGAGGAGGGTAATCCAGACAGGCCTGGGTAACGAGAAGCAAGCTCCTGCCTGCACCATGTCGGGCAGGTGACTTGGCGTTCCCGTCCCAGCCGGCTTGGAGCCTCGAGGCGTGGGCTGGGTCTGACCTTCATCCTCCCCCGGATCCCGGGGGGACCCCCCCTGGGCTGCCCTGTGGGGGGCATGATGGAGGGCTGACCCACTGTCAGTGAGGGACCGCCCCAAAGCTGTGGCATGGTCTGGGAAATGGGAGTAGGTTCTCATTATATAAAAATGTTCCAGCTGGAGGAGATGCAGAGAAAGAGGAACCCTATTACACTGCTGGTGGGAATGCACTCTTACGCCACCACTGTGTAAGCAGTCTGGAGGGTCCTCAGAAAGCTAAATATCAACCTCCCTTACGACCCAGTCATACCACTTCTAGGCATCTATCCTGAACAGCAGGAACCAATATACAAGGACACGTGCACCTCCATGTTTATTGCAGCACTGTTCACAATAGCCAGGATATGGAAACAACCCAGATGCCCCACCACAGATGAATGGATCCAAAAATTGTGGTATCTATACACAATGGAATATTATGCAGCCATTAGAAATGACAAAATAATGGCATTTGCAGGGAAATGGATGGAGCTAGAAGGAATCATGTTGAGTGAGGTAAGCCAAGAGCAAAGAGACAAACGGTACATCGTCTCCCTGATAAGTGGATGCTAAATCCAAAATGTTAGGTGATACGACAAAACTAACAGGACTTAAGAAACAAAGAACTTCCACTCATCTGGTGGAACCACTACTAAATAACCCCATGCTGCTGATCACATGTATGGTATATATGTGCACACCGGAGGGAAACCAGGAAGACGACACAGAACTAGAGGGAATCAGGGGAAAACATACAACAGCGGGACCCATCAGCTGCACTGGGCATTGACCAAAATGAACTAAGCAACTCAATGACAGCGATGGGAGGGAGGGAACAAGTGGAAAAGAGGGAACAGCTGATGCTATGCAAAACAAAAGAAATGTACATATGACCCAATGTGGAAGAAATAACTGTATTGTCAAAGCTCATAGAACTCATAAATGTTATAGACCACGACAGACAATTTGCCCCATGAAAGTTAGAATGTGTTGTGACTTTAACTAAGCATCACTATCCCACAATACTGTGAAACTTGGGAAATTATGTGATCACTTAATCACAATAAAGAATTTGAAAAAAAAAAAATGTTCCAGCCGGGTTCCGGTGGCTCACGCCCGTAATCCCGGCTACTCAGGAGGCTGAGATCTGAGGATCTCCGTTCAAAGCCAGGGAAGGTCCATGAGACTCTTACCTCCAATAAACCACTAGAAAAACTAGATGTGGTGCTGTGGCTCAAGTGGTAGAGCGCTAGCCTTGAGCTGAAGAGCTGAGGGACAGCGCCCAGGCCCAGAGTTCAGGCCCCACGACCAGACCCAAAAAAAAAAAAAGATAGTAAGACAATTAAGAGGTCATTATTGGTTGATTCAAAGAGATCACTTTTTAACCTATCAAAACGATACCCTAACATTCTATATAACAAATCTTTTAGTCTTCCTTTCACACAAAGTGGCCAGTGGTAATAAGGAAAAAGTACATGTGGGCACACGTAAGTTTCTATAGATATTCACATGGAGATCTATTTGTATTTTAATACCTCCCATAGTGTCATACACATTTTAAGCCAAACTCCAAACAGACAGAAAATGTAGGCACTCTTAATACTGCACAAGTACATATTGAATTGTCTCATATTTTAGGCATATTTCAAATACACTAATTTACAGTACAAATTCTGTTCCATATAGAATAAGGTATTGACAAGGCCGGGCGCCAGTGGCTCACACCTGTAATCCTAGCTACTCAGGAGGCTGAGATCTGAGGATCATAGTTCAAAGCCAGTCCAGGCAGGAAAGCCTGTGAGACTCTTATCTCCAATTAACCACCGGAAGTGGAGCTGTGGCTCAAGTATTAGAGAGCTAGCCTTGAGCTGAAGAGCTCAGGGACAGCACCCAGACCCAGAGTTCAAGACCCACGACTGACAAAAAAAGTTCCAATGAATAGATGGATGGACAAATAAAGCTGGAGATTCAGAAGGTCCCACTGAGTCTCCAATGTAGGTACATGACTGGGGGCTGGCGGTGGGCGGTCAGCAGCCCTGGTTCACACCTGGAGCCAGGGAGGTTAATGCCTACCTATTTCTATGGAAGCAGGCAGTGATATTTCACCAGTCTTCCAGATAGAATAGCTGGCTGGCCCGAATACACTTCAGAGCCCTGATTCAATCTCTACCCCCCCCCCGTTTTATAGACCAGGAGATTGAATCCTCAGTCGCACAGGAGGTCAATGACAGGAGACCCAAAGGACATGGGCTCCAGCATCTGGGTTCATGGCTAGTTAGAAGTTCAGCCCCGCCTCCCCCCCCCACCCCCGCGCCCAGCAGAGGCCTCCACCAGCTCTGCCAGGAGACGGCTGAGCCCAGAAGCCCATATCCTCCGGATCCTTGGGACGAAGCCCCCACAGTCTCCGTTCTTGGAACGTGCGTCTCCGAGTCTCGCTCAGGTTCAGTTTAAAGGAGATACAAAGGGGCAGCAAATGTTTACCATCTCAGAAGCCCCAAGCCCACCTCGGGACGTCTGTAACCCACCTTAAATGCAGTTATTTAAAAAGAGGAAAAGAAAAAGAAAAATGGACCAAATGAATTAAATTTTCACCCTAAGAGAGAAGGAATTAATTCGTCAAAACAAAGCATTCATGGAAGAGATGACACAAAGCAGAAGATAATGAAATCAAGGACATTTGAAGACCAATAAAATAGACAAACCTTTGGCGAGTGTGATGCAGAGCCT